TTCTCTGTGCTCTTTTGAAATCAAATACACATTTTAGTCATAACCATGTACCCAAATAAAGCTGTTTCGATTTTTATTTTTAATCCTATCTGCACTTTGAATGAAAGCCCCTATGTTTAAATAACAAAATTAGCTCAACTCGTACATTATTTATTGGAAACAGCAATTCATTGTTGTGCGTTGATAAGAAAATGACATATGGAAGAGTGTGCTTGTATAATAATTAATACACTTAACGGTGCTTGGACACAGATTTGAAGTTAATATTTTCTCAAATTTTCTGTATAATTTCATGACTTATATGTTGCTATAGCATTTCCATACTAAAATATAATAAAAATCTTATTTCATCTCGAAGTTATTAAAACTTTAAATTTCTGGACGCGTTGGATTGACACATTCTTGCGCTTTTATTTTAATTTTATTCTTAATACTTAAGAAAAGAAAAATTTTGTTGTGTATTAATGAAAAATATTAAAACTATAACCCAGAATATTCATAGTAGAAATGTTCGAAAGCAAAACCCACTCACAGTATTGTAAGTCTGTGCTCAGTGGTGTGTGCAGAGTTTAACATTGAACACATTCGGTGAATCGTAAACATTAACAATGACAGAGCTCGTGCCCTGTTTACAAAAATAGTTTACTTTTCACGGGTGTGTTCAATTTGTTAATCTCTGTACACCTCACAGAACACGGACTGACAATACTGGTGAGTTGGTTTTGCTTTCGAACATTTCTACTCTGAATTTTCTGGATTATAGATGTAATATTTTTCATTAATACATAACAAAACCGCTTCTTTTCTAAAATATTAAGGATAAAGTTAAAATTTGTGTAAGTGCAAAGATGTGTTAATCAAACGCGTCCCGGAATTCGTAGTTCCAATAATTTCCAGATAAAATAAGTTTTAATTATATGTTCGTGTGAAATGCTATTGGAATATACAAGTCGTGATATTATACAGAAAATTTTAGAAAATAGTAAGTTCAAATCTGTGTCTAAGAACCTTTAAGAACTTGTATTTGGTCATTCCGATCATCTACTTAAATTCGAAGAACAATATTCATCTCATTCCTGAGCATATTCTTCTTTTCGAGAGGCTACATTACCGTGTAGACCTCCTTTAAATTAATAATTATATTAAGACGAGCTGTTAATATTTCTTTTCAAATTTAAATTTAAAACAATCACCTTTTTACCCAAATTTTTCTTCTGATTTATGATTTACTAAGAGTAAATTTATATGTTTGGCGCAGTATTAGATATATAATTGGTTTGAACATATTTTATTGTATAAATAATATACAAATGGTTTGAACACAAGTTCTAACAACTTACGAGGTTCTCACCATAAATGGATACAACTGTCAAGGTCTATATATAGAGAAAAAAAAATATTGATATATACAAACATATTTGTTTTAAACATACATTCATTACATGATAAATATATAACTAACTAGAGTTTTAGTGTAAGGCTGTAATAATTAATTGAATCTTCCAGAATCTCTTATAAATTTTTGTACAGATTGAAAAATATATTTATTGATTTCAACATTTTGTGACTCATCTCCCCACAGAAGTAGGTGACAATCAAAAATATTCAATTTAGTGTTTGGTTTAATAAGACACAGTAGGTTTCTAAATAGTTCCTCTCTAGCATGTTGATATTTGTTACATACAAAGAAGAAATGATATGGGTCTTCTGGTGTACCACATGAACAATTAGGACTCTCAATAATGTTTCTTTTATAAAGATTATAATTTAAGTAGTTTAGTATGTATGATACTAAGTCGTCTGTTACCATAACAGAAATAAGGAGGGGGGTCTGCTGGTTTTTTATGTATTTTGTTTTTGAAACTACTAAAAGTTGAGCTGTTTCTTGTGGTAATACTTAAACTATTCCATTGGTTTACTGTATCAGGAACAAAGGATTTCTTAAATATTTCGAGTCTGCATCTAGGAATAGTGTAGTCATCTCGATTACGTGTGTTGTAATTTGATTCAACACTCCTTACTGAGGGAAAAATACTTTTTAAATAATCAGGTACCAAACTGTGATGTACTTTAAACATGGTATTTAGTTTTCCTACTTTACGCCTCTCTGCGAGAGGTTCCCATCCTGTTTCTAAATATAATGCATCTCTTGAGGCTATAATGGGTAACCCTGTAATTATTCTCGCAGCATAAAGGTGCACCTTTTCTAATTTTTCAACATCTTGTTGAGAGCATCCATCCCAAACTACAGAACAATATTCAAGTAGTGGTCTAATAAAAGTTGTGTACATTTTAGCTAGTGTGTTTCTACCAATGTTGTATTTTAGCTTTTTTAGGAGGCCTAATCTTTGGTAAGCCTGTTTAACTATATTGTCTATATGTTCAGACCAATTGAGATTTTGGCTCAATAGTAGTCCTAGATGTTTATGAGAGGTTATGTATTCTAATTTACATCGTTGAAATTGTAGTTTAGGAAGATAGTAATTAGATCTTAATGTAAAGAATAATGCTTTTGTTTTGGATGGGTTGAATTTCATAAGCCATTTGGAAGACCACCTATCAAGAATTTCTAAATCATGGTTCAAGATATATTCAATAGTTGCAACATTATATGAGGAACATTGCAACGAGTTGTCATCTGCAAACAATCTACATAATGAAATCATGTTTTCTGACACATCATTCACATAAATCAAAAAAAGTAAAGGACCAAGAACTGATCCTTGTGGTACACCAGCATTAATGTTTCTACTAGACGAAAAAATATCTTTATACATAACTTTCTGCCTTCTATTACATAAGTAACTCTCAAGCCAGGTAAGAATGTTACCACATAAACCGTATGTCTTTAATTTAAAAAGTAAACCTTTATGCCAAACTCTGTCGAACGCTTTGGACAGATCGCAAAATACCATGCAACAAAATTTTCCTTCATCGATATTCTTAACAATGCTGTGATAAGTTTCAAGTAATTGGTAAACAGTTGAGTGATCTGGCAAAAAACCTGCTTGAAATTTGTAAAATAAGTTATTTTGATGAAAGTAATTGTACACATGTTTAAATATAATTCTTTCCATAATTTTGCTAACGCAACTCAACAATGATACCGGTCTATAATTAGTTGCTACAGAAGGATCATCTTTTTTAAACAATGGTAATACATGAGCGAGTTTCCATTTATCTGGGAATGCATTTTCTGCCAGCGACTTATTAAACAACAAACATAGCGGTTTAGAAACAGAATACATAGTAGATTTTAACATTTTGTGGCTTATTGCATCAGGACCTATTGCTTTATTAAGAGGAAGTATTGATATTATATCAATGATTTCTTGCTCAGTAATTAATATATCACTCAGTGTATCATTGCATAAGTAATACAGTTCAGGTAATTGGTTTTGTGAGTCTCCCACATTAGATATAGAAGAAAAATACTTATTTAACACATCAATCTTATCTTCATCTGAGAAAGCTATATTTTCATCTCCGCTATCAGAAATGTATTGTATAGGTGGGATATCTTTATTTGGTTTTACATGAGATATATAATTGGTCCATAATGAGAAAAAAAAATAATAACAAGGTTGACGTTTAATAGATTATTTCATCAAAAACAAAAAAAAGTTTTTTTATTTAAGAACAAGATCTTCATTATTTTCATTTTATTTTTCTAAAACGCCCTCAAATAAAACGCAAAATCTAAATAAAGATTGAAAGCTTAGAATATATTTTTGTAGCTTATTTAAACTACATTTAAACTACATGTACACTGGTACACTGTATCATCGTCTATTTGTTAAAATATTATTATATTGAGTTAAAAATACACCAAAAAACCAAAACAAACAAAAAAAAATAGTGAGAACATACTACAGGCATTTGTTTCTGTAATAAATTTTTTAACCCATAGTATAATAATTATAAAATTTATCACAGAAACAAGTGCCTGTGGAACATACCCAGGGTGACAATTTAAAATGAATTTACTAGCTCGTTTAATACAAATTGAACGCAATGATTGATTTCAAATTCATTCATCGGTAAAGCACTGCAATGAATGTGAGCAAGGTGACCTAGGAAGCTTTGTTTTTTTAATTTCATTTCATATTGATTTTATAATATCCACAATATCACAAAAAATCTTGGTTGACAACTTTTATCATACAATCATCATCCAATTTATTCAACTAATGCATTAATACACGTGTATTTATATCTTTTTATTCATCAGCCTACATTCCACTACGAATATTTTATACAACTTTTCAAGTTTGGTTATCTAGCTATACTTGTCTATTCTTTTACTTTCTTCGAGGAACATGTTATTTTCGCTGAAGAAGAAGTATTTTGCTGTCTGCTGCTTTGTCATTGTATACATGTTGATAACCACGCTAATTGATTCCAGAGGGATACTGGGTATGTATGAATTCATTAAAACAGTTGGGTTTGTTATAATTTCTTCCTCAAAATCTAAAGTATCCGAGCGGGATAAAGCACGGTAAAGTAGAACAACATAGGACAAAATTATGTTGATAATAACTAAAAAAAATTTAAGTTATTAACTCTGGTTTCATTTTTGGTGTCATATTTAATCATACTTAATCATTTAGCTATTTAACAGAATAAAATGGAGTGTTACTAGATATGAAGTGTGGCACTTGATCAGAATAATGCGGATACATTGTACCTACTGCACGGAATAGAATGACAATTGAAAACGATTTTTTAACCAGATAAGTTTCTTAAAATTGATTTTTTTATTAATTAAAAACAGAGGGAGATAACTTTTACCAAAATTCAAGGTCATAAATTGGACACATCCCACCCTAACATGCTAATAGCAATAAATGGGAATTATGTCTAAATTTACTGAGTATTCAGCACCTACACATCTGTTATGCATTCATTTGCTATTAGGATGGAATACCTTAACTTCTTTATTGCCGATTCATCACCCAACTTCTACTTCTTGCTACCTTCTGAATGCCTGGCTTTCCCAAAGCTTTGCCTTATATACCCTTAGGCTAGTCCATTCCAACGGTTTTCAGGTTATTTCGATATTTGAAGTCTACAATACGTTTTACTCAAAAGCCCCTTCACTAAATCTTATCAGCATAATTGCAGGAACCATGGGAAAAAAATGGATCAGCAAAACCCTAAAAAGAGCAAGACCGAACGTGAGTATAAATCAATAAATAATACACTTTAGACACCATTGCTAACGCACCTTTCAATATTCTCATTTATATGTAGAACTTTTCTCTTAACGACACAAGTAAATATAATGTGCCATTTTGGCCCTCAGCTGAATTTGATATTTTGGAGTCAAATCAAGACTCTCAAATTGCATTCTTGTCCGCAAACCAATTTCTCGAGGCTGATTTCGCATCGTTTGATATAAAGTTGGTGGTTAATGGTGGTGGTCAGTGAGGTTGCAATAGCAGTGGCATCCATGTCTCTCAAATGATACAGAACGATGTGTCAATTCTATCGTCTAGTAGACGTCCATTGCTTTGGAATCCTTACCCGCTCCAACCACACTTCCGATCGCCAAAATTTGCAATACAATCGTGCACTACGGTAGTCGTCGTGTGGTATCTACTGAATGTTGTGACCATCTCTCGAAACATCTTTAAATTTGTTTTGAATTTGCAGTATTTTGTAAGTAGAAGAAACAAAACTGTTTTAATCTTACTAAACTCTCCACAGGAACACCCAAAAGACACCATATTGACTGCCCTGCCACACTTTTCTATAGCAAAACAGAGCATGCAGTGTTTTTTTCTAAGTTTTTATGAAACTTAAACATAAAGAACACAAATACAGAGAAGAAAGAGAATTTATTCCTCCAAAAAGAGCTAGCAAAATTTTCATGTATTTCTTGGATAAGGTTACGCTTCAGTAGATACTGTATTCACTTATCATTTGGGGCATTTAATGTCTTAAATGTATTTTACTAAATTATCATATTTAAACATCAAATACAGCATAAATAAGTAAATATTAATTTTTTATGGCGGTGCGTTAGAAATTTTATCTAGTGTGTGTATGCACCTAAATTCTACTAGTAAAAAAAAAGGACAATGGCTTACTCGACTTGGACTGCACTTGAATCAAGAAAAACAACAGAAAGTTAATGTAAAAGAAATTTGAACGTTGCATTGGATTTTTCAGCGTTGGTAAAGTATTATGTACTCATTGTATCATGTAAACATGAAAAAGAAGATTTTAAGATGTATCACAGTAAAGCATGTCTAATTCAACATCTATTGGAACACAAAGTAAGTGTCTGAAAAGACAGGATGTCGGACCGCATAGTGAAGCATAGAAAATATGAGTTAATAAACACCATCATAGTCTGAATTCTGAATCTAGAGGCCATGCATTGCACAATTTTGGTAGATCGCTAAGAGTTCATTATGTAATCATACAAATGGTTTACCTACTAGATATCCATGAGTAGAGAAGAAGATCTCCAAAGATGTTATGTATTCTCAATATATGACCACCTAAGATCCACTCTAGGGTCTGTACCTTGGAACAAGAGGTCATTACTTTAAAAAAAATATTAGAGTACTCATTATAAGCATGCAAATAGTTTTCATGAATAAGAAAGAAACTTTTTATTGGCTATTATGCATTTTATATATATAACCAACTTAGCCCCACCAAATAATCTAAACCTAGGGGACACAAATTTCAAAATTTTAGTTTGTCTGGTACTGTTACTACATTAGAAAATTTGCATTTTCTAGTCGATCCATAGTCGATCAATATGAATTGATTAGAAGATTAAACAGAATGTTCTTGGCTAGCTACATAGAAATAAGGTAATTTTTAAAACAGATAAGATCATTCTGATGTTCTTTCTTAGCTGCACATCACTGCTTAAGGTTTCTTTTTTAATATGTAAAAAATCAGAATTTAAATTTCGTGCCTACATAATAAACAACGCGCATGATGATGAAAAACTTAACAATGAAAAAGTTGAAAACAACGAACGGTAATCAGTCTCAAAATCGTGTAAATAAAAGGAATCGTGAAACGGGAAAAAACACGTAGGAATTTATGTCTCCCGGTTGATACGTAAGAGCATGTTCTACGTACGACCAATTTCTTAAATGAGGTAGGCTGTTGACAAATAAGTTGATTATGCAAGGATATCAACAAGTTCGATTCACGTCAACATTTTGCAAATTCTTCAGTCGATACAATGACCTTGTTTGTAAATACAGGTTGGCTGACAACTTCTATAGCAATTGTTGGCCATAATTTTCACACTGAAATGTTTAGGGATTTTCCGTTTAACAGATCATGACAAGGAGCACAAGGCGGGTGTGACTGGTCGACAGAGGATGCTTACTCCTCCGCGGCACCTGATTCCACCTGTTTTCAGAGGTTCATGTTGGCTCTGTTAATAATTGGTACAGCTAGAGTACACTTTTGAGCATGATCTCTGTTCGTTATCTTAACATTCGTCAATCAGTTTTATAGCAATTGTACCATTTTTCTGTAACAAACGAATTCCATTGTTTTAAGAAATCTTAACGATGTTAATCATATACAGTTTCAGTTGAATAAGTCAACATCACACCAGACTATCACAAAATCACGTGCGTATTGGCAGGAAGCGTACACCAAAATAAATAGAAGAGAAGCGCTACTTTTCGGGAAATTTCCGGACAAAATTGGTTGGTATTCACCACACATTTTACATTGTTATCATAATTTTGAATTTTATAAAAAGATGCTATGAAGCTCACCTGAGCTGAAGACACATTTGAATTTACTCACCTGTCTGTCTAAAGACCTTGTGTTACTTTTCTTCTCCATGCAGAATCATTGGTCCAATTTCAACCAAACTCGCCATATAGTATTTTTGGGTAATGAGATTTTAAACCTCTTCAAATAAACGATATTTTCTAAGGTAAACAAGCATTCTGAGAGTATTGCATTAGCAATACTAGTCCCCTACCGGCAAGTGTAATCTGGTTCCTGTTAAGAATTGAAAATGCCATAATTCCGTCAAAAATTAATGAAGCGGGACGAAATGCAAACTTGATCTATAACTAATCAAGGTTAAGCCACATACCAAAAATCAGCTCAATATCTGAAAGCGTTTAGAAGAAAATTGCGGAAAACCCCTAAAAATTGAAAAGGCCGTAATTCCGTCAAAAATCAATGAAGCGGAACGAAATGCAAACTTGGTCTGTAACTCATCAAGATACACTCACATACCAAAAATCAGCTCAATATCTGCAAGCGTTTAGGAGAAAAGTGCGGAAAACCAAGTGGGACAGACTGACAGACAGACAGAGGGACAGACAGACAGACAGACAGACGGACAGACAGACAGACAGACAGACGGACGGACAGACGGACGGACAGACTCAGAGGAAACCTATAGTCCCCTCCGGTTTCACCGGTAGGGGACTAATAAGAAGGAAATGACTAAAAAAATTCAACGCCTACTCTTTTTTTTACCAAACGGTTACCTGATGAGAGGAAGTGGTCTTATTAGTCCCATACCGGTGAAACCGGAGGGGACTATAGGTTTCCTCTGAGTCTGTCCGTCCGTCTGTCTGTCTGTTTAGCTGTCTGTCTGTCAGTCTGTCCCACTTGGTTTTTCTGCACTTTTTTTCTAAACGCTTGCAGATATTGAGCTGATTTTCAGTATGTGAGTGTATCTTGATGAGTTAAAGATCAAGTTTGCATTTCGTTCCGCTTCAATGATTTTTTGACGGAATTATGACCTTTTCAATTTTTCAGGGTTTTCCGCAATTTTTTTCTGAACGCTTGCAGATTTTGAGCTGATTTTTGGTATGTGACTTTACCTTGATGAGTTATGGATCAAGTTTACATTATGTTCCACTTCATTGATTTTTGACGGAATTATGGCATTTTCAATTTTTAACGGGAACCAGATTGTACTTGCCGGTAGGGGACTAGTATTGATAAATAAATGCAATACTCTCAGAATGCTTGTTACTACAGATGTTATTTAACCGGAGGGCTCTAAACGCATTCATATACACATTGCATTAAACATGAAGTCTGCCTTTGGTAATCCGCGTCAAAATTATACACACACTTTTTGATTTAATTTTTTTTTAATGAAATTTGTCATCTCAATATTTGATATTTCAAGGGGGAAAATGCATAATGAAATATTATAAATGTTAAAAATTAAAAAAAAAATCTGTAAACAAGTGACTATTATATCAGTAATATATTTTTATTGTAAGTAAAAAATAAATAAATAAATAATTATCAGTTAGAGATTTTTTGGGGGAAAAGGATTTTTTTTGAGGAAGTTTACCATAAGAAAAGCCTTTATTTTTCTGGACCATTTACGAACAAAGACTATGGAGGAAATTCGAAATATGATCGTGACCTTTTTTTATAATTACTATTCTGTGGTGTTGATTGATTATTTTATTTCATTTGTAATCTACTCTTTTTAATAAAAATTAGAATGTAACCTGAAAATTAGGCACGTTTAAAATGAACCTCAACTAACCCTACCAAAGACAATTTGATCGTTTACTTTTGTTAATTAAAAAAAAACAAGCATTCTGAGAGTATTGCATTAGCAATACTAGTCCCCTACCGGCAAGTGTAATCTGGTTCCCGTTAAGAATTGAAAATGCCATAATTCCGTCAAAAATCAATGAAGAGGGACGAAATGCAAACTTGATCTATAACTAATCAAGGTAAAGTCACATACCAAAAATCAGCTCAATATCTGAAAGCATTTAGAAGAAAATTGTTCAAAACCCTTAAAAATTGAAAAGGCCGTAATTCCTTCAAAAACCATTAAAGCGGAACGAAATGCAAACTTGATCTGTAACTCACCAAGATACATTCACATACCAAAAATCAGCTCAATATCTGCAAGCATTTAGGAAAAATGTGCGGAAAACCAAGTGGGACAGACTGACAGACAGACAGAAGGACAGCCGGACAGACAGACAGACTCAGAGGAAACGTATAGTCCCCTCCGGTTTCACCGGTAGGGGACTAATAAAACAAGCATTCTGAGAGTATTGCATTAGCAATACTAGTCCCCTACCGGCAAGTGTAATCTGGTTCCCGTAAAAATTGAAAATGCCATAATTTCGTCAAAAATTTATGAAGCGAAACGAAATGCAAACTTGATCAAAAACTCATCAAGGTTAAGTCACATACCAAAAATCAGCTCAATATCTGCAAGCGTTTAGAAGAAAATTGCGGAAAACCCTTTAAAATTGAAGAGGTCGTAATTTCGTCAAAAATCAGTGAAGCGGAACGAAATGCAAACTTGACCTGTAACTCATCAAGATACACTCACATAGCAAAAATCAGCTCAATATCTGCAAGCGTTTAGGAAAAAAGTGCGGAAAACCAAGTGGGACAGACAGACAGAGGGACAGACGGACGGACAGACTCAGAGGAAACCTATAGTCCCCTCCGGTTTGGAGTTTGACCCACTTTTGAAAATTTTAACCTTGGCCATAACTTTTGAATATTTGGTGCTACGACTCTCGTATTTTACATGTGTTTTCCTTGTACAAGACCTTTCTTTATGTACCAATATTTTTTATCTCTGATATTGACCTTGGAGTTTGACTTGCATTTGAAAAACTTACACATTTGCCATGAGCTGCCATACGGGGCATCGATGTTTCACAAACACATTTTTTAAAATAATTTCAATCTTTCAAACAGTTTTATCATGGGGATCCTGATTGCAAACTTATTTTATACGCTGATGATAGTGCAATCTTATTTTCTCATAAAAATCCAAATTTTATTTCAAAAAACTTGGTGCAAATTGGCCAGTAGATAATACATTATCCCTACACCTGGGAAAGACTAGTGTATTTGTCTGGATCTAGAAAAAAGCTTACAAGTGTTTAAGACTTTCACATTGAGTGTATTGGACATACTATACATTCCACAGGTTTTAGCTTTCTAATTAGGTCGATTCCAAAATAATTACGTACTGTCCTCATGTGATCCACACTACAGAAGTCCTTCACCTTTTATTTTTGGCAGATGTTTTCAATTTGAAGTTTTTTCTTTAGATTTCAATGCTGGAATGATATATCTATGAGGCGTCGTTTTGGTATTTACTGCCAAAAAGTGATATCACCTATTCGAGTAGGTGATATCACCTATTCAATTGGTGATATCACCTATTTGAATAGGTGATATCACCTATTCAGCTTCTGAATAGGTGATATCACCTATTCGAACAGGTGATATCACCTATTCATTTTCAATAGGTGATATCACCTATTCGAATAAGTGATATCACCTATTCGAATAAGTGATATCACCTATTCGAATAGGTGATATCACCAATTCAATTTGAATGAGTGATATCACTTATTCGAATAGGTGATATCACCTATTTGTATAGGTGATATCACCTATTTGAATAGGTGATATCAATTTTTGGCAGTAAATACCAAAACGGCGCCTCATATATATCTATCATGTAGCGTTTGGATATTTTTATTAACAGCTTTCTGTGTGAACAATTTGCCGTTTCTTAAGTTATTAATTAGACACTCGGTTACATAGTGCATCTTACTTTCTGTAGTGTTTAGATTTGTGCACTGTCACACTAAGTTTTTTTTAATTATTACAGGTTACCTTACGATAGGAATTCCCTCCGTCAAAAGACAGAATATGACTTATCTAGAGCATACACTTCTATCCCTGGTATCAAAAACATCACAAAATGATCGCAGACGAGTAATTATTGTGGTGTTTTTGACTGATAGTAATCATACCTGGGTGGTACATCGAGCCAAGGAAGTCTACAAAAGATTCAGAGAGCATGTAGATTCCGGTTTTATACAAATTGTACATCCGCCTCATATCTTCTACCCTAATTTCCGGTTGCTGGAGCGTCGGTTCAATGACAGCCCGGAAAGAGTTGCCTGGCGAAGCAAGCAGAATTTAGACTACTCTTATTTGATGACGTACTCACAACCTATGTCGAAATATTACCTACAATTAGAGGATGACGTCATGGTTACTAGTAATTACACAAGAAAGCTTGAAGATTTTATAAACAGAAATCCAAGCAAATGGCTATTCTTGCGTGTGTCAAAACTTGGTTTTATTGGGCTTCTGTTTAAAAATTCTGATTTATTGAAAGTGGCCAAATTTTTACGTATTTTATTTGACGAAAAACCATGTGATCTCCTTATAAATGATTTACGTGTCATCAAAGGGCAAACAAAAGATATTATTCTGTCCCCATCCTTATTTCAACACATGGGGGTTATTTCTTCTTTAAAAAATCAAATCCGGCGTGTCAAAGATAATACATTTAGGGCTTAATTCTTGTCTTTGAAGGCATGTGACTTTCATTTCTCTCGTAATTTTGATTCTATTCCAGCAAAAACATTTGTTTTTCAAGTCAAATAAAAAAAATGCACAAAATGTAAATTTAGATCAACAATGATTGAAGAAATTTGCTATAGAATTCTTCGCCATCGTTTGGTCTACAGTATTGCTGAAATGAAACGAAAACTTAAGGAGGCCATTGAAACCATTATTTGCAAGGAATTCCCCAGTGTGACTAAACAACAGTGATTTTTGTTCACTAATACCTCATTATCTTAAACATTTTTTTTCTGGAGAAATATGACTAGTACCCTATTGAAAATGAACGAGATGAACTCACTTTTCTCAAATTTCAAAAAAAAAGTTTTTCGTTAGTTTTTAGAGCTTTCAAAATTATATTTTCTTCTCCCCTCACGAATGGGAAAAGGGGCAAATAATTTGTATGTGTAAACTTTTGGATATCTTTAGCTGTACTGCATGGTCGGCTACCAGAAGAGCTTACGCCATAGTAAGATGTCCATCATCCATCCGTCTCTTTGTTTGCCTGTCTGTCTGTAAACAATTTTTCTAAATGCTACTCCTTCTACAATTATCCGATTTTAACATAAAGTGGAATACAAGTTTACTACATTATCTAACAAGAGGCCCATGGGCCACATCGCTGACCTGAGCACATTGGCTAGGTAAAAGCAGAAATCAGTTCAGCATTGAAAAAATTTACGGGGGGACTTAAATTTACACTAGCTCAGGATGCTTCCATATCAATATTACTAATCATGGCTTTGCTGTTCTTGAGCAGCAGAATTTTAAAGATTTTTTTTCTATGTAAAACTCTGATCGCCCATTGTGACCCCACCCTACCCACTCTAAATTTGAACAAATTTGAATCTACACTACCGGAGGATGCTTCTAAAATAATATAACTAATCATGACTTTGCTGTTCTTGAGCAGCAGCATTTTTCAAGATGATTCCTCTTATGTTAAACTATGACCCTCTGTTGTGTCCCCAATGATTTGAAAAAACTTGATTCGGCAATACCTAATGTTGTTCTGTATAAATATGACTAATAATTGCCTAGTTGTTCTTGAGAAGAACATTTTTAAGTTTTCCTTTTACTCTGTCTGAGTCATTGATTGGAATAAGATCAACTGCACTTTCTGAGGGTAAATCACAGAGTACTTTTTTTTTTATCTAGGGACTGAGTAGGGTACTACTTGCACCGTGTTTCTCCTCTAGGTTCCAACTGATAGATAAGAACCGGGTGTCTCAAATCTTCTTCACCCAAAACTTAACATCAGTTCCTTAGGATACTAGGATGACCGTGTAATGTACAGCAGCGCCGCGAGAATTCCATCGGCATCGAAAGCAAGTTTTTTTTGACTTACCTAGATAGCCGAGCGGTCTAGCGCGCTGTTCCTGTACTGCTAGGAGACCGATTCCATAGGTCGAGAGTTCAACCCCGGGCTGGGGCGGAATTGAGTATCCTTATAAAAGTGAATTTCTTTGTGCTTTCTATATATGCTATTCCTTCTTCTCGTTTGTCTGATTTAAATAAAACTTTTTTCACCAGTAAACTACACTGATATACAAAATTTTGTTCATGAAGATTTCTTCACTTAGGGCAGTTATGTTAGTTTATATATACTAACACAATATATAATATACATAATATATACTAACCCTCGAGAGTTCAACCCTGGGTTGGGGCGGAAGTGGGTATCCTTATAAAAGTGAATTTCTTTGTGCTTTCTATATTAATATTTCTTCACTTAGGGCAGTAATGTTAGTTTAAGAATTGTTGTAAAATGAGCTGTATAAATAAAATTAATTCATTACAATGTGTATCGGTAACGATCTTCTAATAAACTAATGTCCAAATAACTGTATCTCTCTTCCATTCTAAATGACCGTGTAGTGTAGGACAGCGCCGCGAGAATTCCATCGGCAAGTTTTTTGACTTGCCTAGATGGCCGAGCGGTCTAGCACGCTGTTCCTGGACTGCTAGGAGACAGATTCCGTAAGTCGAGAGTTCAACCCCGGGTTGGGGCGGAAGTGGGTATCCTTATAAATGTGAATCTCTCTCTCTCTCTCTCTCTCTCTCTCTCTCTCTCTCTCTCTCTCTCTATATATATATATATATATATATTTATATTAGTGATGTACCGATTAAATCGATTATCTAATCGAAATGGCCCCCAATTATAGATAATCGATTATAATTTTGATAATCGATTAATGAAAATATTAGTTAAAAGCAAATTATAACTTTGATCTTGATTCATTCCTCTTTGAATTTATTTAAATCCTAAATCTAACAAATGAATCCAATGATACAAAATATATCAAAAATGTATCATAGAAATAACTCCAGAATTTTTTACCAATTTATTTTTCATTCAAAAATGAACAAATTTAATACTTGAAATCAATCGATTATTAATCGATTATAGTGCATCCGATTATTCCGATAATCGATTATGAAAAAAATTCCGATTTCCCATCACTAATATAAATACACTGAACCAAACTTCTAAGTGTTCACCATACATTTTTTAAGATATAAAGAACAAATGCACACAATAAGTAACTTCTTTTATTCATGGTTAATGATGCATATTTCAGTTTGATGTTGCATAAATTTCATGTCAGTATCTCGTCAGACTTTAAAGCAAAGTGTCAAGGAAATGATGTACCCTCAAAATGACAATTCACAAAAAATAATCTCTAAGGAGTAGGACCACCACTCGCTCTAATTATTGCAAGACATCCTTTTTCCCATGGATTCAATATACCCTTGAATAGGAGGTTGACCTATCTGCTGCCACACCTACTGCATGGATCTTTCTAAACCGCTGAAATTGTGTGGATGGGGAGGGCTTTAACATTCCTTTAAAAAGTCCAAAATGTGTTTAATTGGATTCAGATTGGGGATTTGGCAGGCCAGGGCATTACACAGATGTCTTTTGGTCAGCACCTAGACCCTCTTTGGGCGTCTCGCACATAAGTGTACCTCTTTAAGGATGATTCAGACTGTTTGAGATGATATTGGACTGTCATGAGCACCAATTTGTTGCCATTTTCTTACCATTGAAGTTGCTAATTTGAATAAATCTAAAGTGGTTCAGGACCATGTAACAATCTTTTAACCTGGTTGTGACGCGAAACCTTGGCCTCAGACGAATATCCAGATCACTTCCGGTTTTGTTAAATTTTGTCCAAAGCTTTCAAATTGTGATAAGTTAGCGATGAAAATGACACACAACCTATAGCAAAATGTCTTAAAATGGATTTTAATACTAGTTGTTAATTTTTAAAAGTAATATCAACGACAAATAAACACTTAAATAACAAGAGGCCCATGGGCCACATCGCTCACCTGAGCACACTGGCGAGGAAAAAAAGCAAAAATCAGTTCAGTATTGAAAAGTTAACGGGGGAGAGAGGGGGGGGATGGGGGATTTTAAACTACCAATGCTTTCATATCAATATAACAAATAACTTTGCTGTTCTTGAGCAGAAGATTTTTTCCCATATATTCATTTGTAAAAATTTGATCCCCCATTGTGGCCCCACCCTACCCCCGGGGGTGCTCATTTGAACAATCATTTGAACGATGCTTCCATATCAATTTGACTAATCATGGCTTTTCTGTTCTTGAGAGAAAGATTTTTTCCTATGTATTCCTCTGTAAACTTTGATCACCCATTGTGGCCCCATCCTACCCCCAGGGGTCATGATTTGAACAAACTTGAATCTACACTACCTGAGGATGCTTCCATATAAATATGATCAATCATGTCTTTGCTTATCTTGAGAAGAAGATTTTTAAAGTTTTTTTCTATATACTCTTACGAAAAACTTTGACCCACCATTGTGGCCCCACCCTACCCCCAGGGGTCATGATTTGAACAAACTTGAATCTACACTACCTGAGGATGCTTTCATATAAATATGACCAATCATGGCTTTGCTGTTCTTAAGAAGAAGATTTTTCCTATATATTTCTATGTAAAACTTTGATCCCCAATTGTGGCCCCACCCTACCCCTGGGGGTCATGATTGAACAAACTTGAATCTACACTACCTGAGGATGCTTCTACATAAATATGACCAATCATGGCTTTGCTGTTCTTAAGAAGAAGATTTTTAAAGATATTTTCCTATATATTTCTATGTAAAATTTTGATCGTCCATTGTGGCCTCACCCTACCCCTGAGGGTCATGATTTGAACAAACTTGAATCTACACTACTTGTGGATGCTTTCATATAAATATGACCAATCATGGCTTTGCTGTTCTTGAGAAGAAGATTTTTAAAGATATTTTCCTATATATTTCTATGTCAAACTTTGATCCCCCATTGTGACCCCACCCTACCCCTGAGGGTCATGATTTGAACAAACTTGAATCTACACTACTTGTGGATGCTTTCATATAAATATGACCAATCATGGCTTTGCTGTTCTTAAGAAGAAGATTTTTAAAGATATTTTCCTATATATTTCTATGTCAAACTTTGATCCCCCATTGTGGCCTCACCCTACCCCCGGGGGTCATGATTTGAACAAACTTGAATCTACACTACCTGAGGATGCTTCCATATAAATATGACCAATCTTGGCTTTGCTGTTCTTAAGAAGAAGATTTTTAAAGATATTTTCCTATATATTTCTATGTCAAACTTTGATCCCCCATTGTGGCCCCACCCTACCCCTGGGGGTCATGATTGAACAAACTTGAATCTACACTACCTAAGGATGCTTCCATATAAATATGACCAATCATGGCTTTGCTGTTCTTAAGAAGAAGATTTTTAAAGATATTTTCCTATATATTTCTATGTAAAACTTTGATCCCCCATTGTGGCCCCACCCTACCCCTGGGGGTCATGATTTGAACAAACTTGAATGTACACTACCTGAGGATGCTTTCATATAAATATGACCAATCATGGCTTTGCTGTTCTTAAGAAGAAGATTTTTAAAGATATTTTCCTATAT